AAAATTAAACACTCAAAAATAATTAATTGAGAATTAATTATTATTTAAATAATATGATTATTTAAATTTAAATTTGAACACATCTAGATTTATATATTTAAACTTATTTGATAAGTTGTTCAATTTAGAATTCAAATTAATTTAAGTTTGACTTAAATTGAAATTTGAGTTTGAGTCAAAATTAGACTACAGGATAAAGGATGATTTTCTCTTCCTTCCCTACCTACAAATTGGCACTACATAGGGATGAGAATTCCCTAAGGTGGCCGGCCACACTAAGGATAAGGGAATGTGAGATTTTGTTTCAAATTCAAATAGGAGATAATTAACAAGTTTTATCTTGGAGATAGAGATTGGATTCCTTCTAGAAGTTTGACTTCTACTCTATAAATAAGAGAATGATAGAAAATTGCGAGAGATAATTTTTGCAACAATTTTTGCCCTAATGTGAATAGGGTGGCTGAAATTATTCTCTTAGAGGGAAGAAAAAATTTTTCTCCAAAAATTTCACATCGTGCATGCGTTGGTGTTTGTGGAAATTCCACGTTTTCGTGGATTCTAGGAATTGACGTGGAAGACATTGATTTTCTAAGCACAAAGCTTTGGAGCAAGGATTGTTCGAGGTCAAAGAACTCAAGTTATCATCCTAATCGGCCGCCGGGTATTATTCGTAATTGAGTTCTTAATAAATGAGTTAATGAGATTGATTTATTCGTGCATAAATTAATATAATCTATAGAGTATCTCAAAGATTTTATGAAAATTTTTGTTATACACGATCCGCCTCCCCCAACGCTTCCGCATCCGAATTCGATTCGATAACCAACAGGAGCGTGCCGGCGGGAGCGGGGCGGCGGGATGGGTGGCCGGAGATGGGAACAAGAGGGAGGGGAGCGGAAGAGAGAGAGAGAGAAAAGGGAAGAGAGAGAGAAAGCTGAGAAGAGAGAGAAGAGGAGAGAGAATGGAATAGAGCGAGAGAACGGAGGGTGGCGGGGGCGGCGGGTGGCGGCAGTGAGGAGAAGAAGAGGCGGAGAGAGTTAGAGAGAGAGAGACTGAAATCGGGGGAACATGAAGAGGAAGAAGTTAGGGTGCAATAGATCAGACTTATTTGCGACGATATTGTCGTCGCAAATAAATTTATAATGTCGTCTCAAATACCCCACATCTGAAATTATTTGCGACGACATTGTCATCACAAATAAATTAAAATGTCGTCGCAAATACCCAACATCTGAAATTATTTGCAACGACAATATGTTGTTGCAAATAATCATTCCACCACATGTATTCTTGGTCACCACATGTATTCTTGGTCAAGCTTATTTGCGACGACAAAGGGAAAACATCGTCGCAAATAGAGTTATATTATTTGCGACGACACGTGTCGTCGCGAATAAAAATATATTTGCGACGACAAGTCGTTGCAAAAAATAGATTCCCTTTGGCGGCAAAATCCGCGCCATTGGAAATTGCGCGCCTGAACTATTTGCGACGACATTGAACTTATTAGCGACGATATGCTTAATTTATTTAACGGGGATTAATTGTGACAACATGTCGTCGTAAATAATGAAATTTTTGTGACGACAAATATCGTCACAAATGACCTTTATTGTTGTAGTGCCAGATAAAAAATCGTTTTCAAAACTAACAGCATATGTCCCCTCGGGCCTCACCTCCTTCCGTCACTGTCTCTCTGCACCTTATAATGAATTTAGGTATGATACTATAGTTAGATTATACATGCAACCACTAGTATTTTGGTAATAGGCTTAAATATAGAAAGAAAACATTGCAAATAGAAATAAAAACTATAAGTAGAATAAAACATGCGACGTTCTTGAAAAAAAATAAAAAAATAAAACCCCAAAAACCGTCCCCCTAGACCAAAGGCCCTTACACTAGCAGTAAATTCACGCTTTGAATTCCGTACTCCACTTCAAAATCTTAAAAGAAAAAAAAAAAAGAAAACGATTATCGAATTTTTTTTAAGACTTTAACCAAGGAATTATAAGTTATTTTTTTTGCTTGAAACTCAAACATGTACAGAAGACAATATTAGTTAACGGGCTCCCCGGGTGTCCCCTCAAGGACAACTAAAGGGTGTGAGTGTACAAATTTGGTAGTGAGCAAGTTAAACTTATTAATTAACTAAAGAAATATCTCCTAGCAAAAAAAAAAAAAAGCCTAAAGAAATATCACCAAATTATTTACCACATTTCTATATACTTAAGGTAACAATTGATAGACTCGAAAAAAAAAAAAAAAAAAACGTAACAATTGATTTAATATTCACTCAAGAACATCGTTTGACTGTAACGTTTTCTAGAAATACCATTGCTTTTATATCTTCTTAAATCGTTGTGCTAGAGAGCAGGAATTTTTGTTAAGGCATTCCAGGAAGGAATCAAGCGATTCAAGCCAAAAGAAAGAAAGAAAGAAAAAAAAGGCTAATATGGTATCTGTACCAATTAACTTTTATATGATTTATTATTATTAACAGAACAGGATAATATTGACACTTTAAATCGCGTAACATTTCTACGAAGCGGCCGGCCGACTTTATACTGTTTTGAGCTCATTTATTCATAGTCATATATTACACATATGAAATAGTGACGGAGCTAGATTTCTACTTAGCTGGGATATACATTAAATTTTCTTTCTTGCAGCATACAAACAAAAATAAATGTGCAAAGTTCAGTGAAGACGTATGTGAAATTAAAGAAAAAAAAAAAAAAGTATCTAAGTGGGGCAAAACTAAAAGGGTTTTTAGTACATTTTTGTCCTTTAAATTTGTCGTAGTTTAGCAAATTGCCACCCTAAACTTTTAATTTTAGCAAAGGGTCCACTCAACTTATAAAGTTGTTACAATATGCCTAATTTTAATAACGATTGTGTTAAATTATTGTCAAAAAAACACGTTCAGCTAAAAATTTTAACATTTTAATTCAAATGTAACACAAATCTTTAGTATATCAACTTTTAATCTCTTGAATCTAATAAAAAAAAATTGAGCAAATTTAGTTAAATGAGGCACATTGCAACAAATTTACAAATTCAGATGACAATTTGCCAAAATTAAAAATTTAAAGATGCTAAACTACAACAAGTTCGGGGGGCAATTGTGCCAAAACCCCAAACTAAAAATTCATGAATTCTAATAGGTTAGTTTAAAAGACAAATAATAAATAATAAATAATAATAAATAATAATAAGAAACCTCATAGGCCGCATACATCAAATCTCAATTTTTGTGTACCAATTAATGTGGTATGTGAGTTGACATTTTTTATTAGTAGATATTTTCTTATCATTAATTGACATGGCAATATCTTAACACTTGCAATAAAAAAGTGACAACTCATATAGTACATCAATTAATACACAAAAAATTGAAATTTTAGTTAATATCCCTAAGATTATTCTTTCAAATATTCAAAATAAGAATTAATACGATGTTAATTTTGACCACACGTGCTTGGCACAATGGCAATTTTTTTAGTAAGCATACTAGGAAAAACTTAAAAATAATCTCATCGAATGCACATATAATTATATATTTCGATTATTGAGCGATGACAAAATTATAATTTTCTTATAAAAATATGAGCATAACAATGTATTTTTATTATTGAGGACATGGTTATAATTTTCTTGTAAAATTAAGGCACAACTAAAATTTTTAAAAATTACAATAAATGACAAAATTATAAGAATGGAGTTGAAACATAACAATTTGGCTTTGACATATTTTCAAATAACAAAATTGCATAGTATTATTTTGATGGTATTCACGTTTATGCTACAAAATATGTAGTAATTATTCTAATTATATTAAATTTTACTATTTGTAAAATCCATCTTAGAAAACAAAACAATGTAATTCATAACTCCTAATTGGTAGGAAAGATTACCGCACGTATTGGCAAGACAATGACTTGACATGTTCTAAGTTAAATATTTTCTTTACGAAGAATTCTTTGGCATGGTACAAAAAATACCCTATTGGTATGACATAGTTTTCAACTATCAGATTTTTATTATGTTTCGTTAGATGTCATTATTTATTTTAATGAGATAATTTATTTTAGTAAAATATAATTCCTTTGATCTGTTTAAACTGTACTTGAATTTGATCTAAAACTATGTCCTACTATACCGAAATTCTCCCTTATTTGGACAAGCAAAAAGAGTATTGGGCAAGTTTTTAACTTTCTATTTTTTCATTTGTTTTCACTAATTAATGTAAAACGTTATATATTTTTTCTTTTTAAGAAATGAGACCAGAAAAATGATTTAGGTGACAACCAAACGCACCCTTAACAGTTCATTCATTAGATTATCGAATCCATGCCTTCACAACAACAACAACAACAACAAAAAGAAGGTTCAAAAGGTTCATAATTAAACAAAGCGGGGGTTTCAAAAAACAGTTAAGCCGTTAGGACTTGAGTTGTCCTATTTCCCAGGAAACAAACACAAAACCAACTTGTTAGACTATAATAGAGGAACCAAAATAGTAAATAAAATGAATTGAGACACCAACCAAAAACTGCTCCCCATTTAGAAATAAATCCTAGCCAGCTATAAATCCGAGAAAATGAATGGAAGTAATTAGAGTTCAAAAAAAAAAAAAAAAAAAAAAAAACGTTTCTGGAAGTAAATTCTATTCACAGCCTTTCATTTCTACCTCTCCTTCAATCTCTCTCTCTCTCTCTCTCTCTCTCTCTCTCTCTCTCTCTCTTCATCAGATTCCTTAGAGAGTTGCCGCAGAAAGCTTGATAGAGAATGTATGTTCTCTCCTTCTAATCTATCAAGATTTGAGTAAGTTCTTTAAGACTTTTGAATTTGTTCCATTATGTATTTTGTCGTTCTGTCATGATGAAGTATGAAGTCCTTGTCTAAGGTGGTGGATGCAATTTCATTGTGATAACATAAAATTTGGCTTCAAAAAGAAATGTATTTTAAAACAGCTCATTCGGGTGCGTTGGCATAATACTAGCGAAGAAATATTCGCCACAACATCTTGAAGAATTTAGATTTTGTCTATATAGTACTTATTAGGTGTTAAAGATGATGATGTCAATGAAAAATATGATGATTTTACTTTTGCTTTTAAAGCGTATGAGAACACAATTGTGATGGAAGATTTTTTTGTATTTTTACATGCTGTGATCAAGGATGAATACTATTTTTTTTTTTTTTTTTTTTGGTTGTTAATCATTCTTGGGGATAAAAATCTTGCTGTTTGGTCAGTTTTGGTTCTATAGCTTGTTTGTTTGTAATCTTTGCTAATGTATATTGTTCTAATATTCCTCAAAACTGGTTATATAAGTATTCTTCTCATTTTGGAAACTAGGGCTTCTATTTCCTATGACAATGCTAGATATCACATTCTATTTCATTTTGAAGCACTCTTGCATGTGTCATTTGATAAACTGTTCCTTTTTTTATTTTTCTTCTTTCTTTCTTTTTCCATTTTTCCTTTCTAGATGTCAAAATAAAAATCTCTGATGACTAGAATCCTTCAGCATTGTACATTTTATATTTTCATTTGGTTAATTTTTCCAACATCTTTGTGACAGGATAGGACAAAATGATAAGGTGTTTACTTTTCATTTCCCTCTTGTTACACACAACTTTTGCACAGAAAGCTCCCGAGACTTCTCCAAAATGGCTGACTTTAAGCGGTAAATGACCAAATACAAACTACTCTCTTATGATAAGACTCTCATCAAGAAGCAACTTAGAAATTGTATAAAAGGAATTTGTTTGAGAGAACAAAGAACATGTTATTAAGAACAAGCTTCCATGTTTACAAAGGTAAATAATGTTATTTTGTTTTCCTCTTTCTATTCTACAGGTGAGCAGCCAATAGTTGTAGCCCGTGGCGGGTTTTCGGGGCTTTTCCCAGAATCTAGCAGCTTCGCAAATCAAATCGCTGTCTCTACAGGCATGTCAGATGTGGTTGTTTTCTGCAACCTGCAACTCACAAAAGATGGCATTGGTGTTTGCCTACCAGACATTAGGATTGACAATTCAACAACTATATCATCAATCTATCCGAAAGGCCAAAAGTCCTACAATGTAAATGGACAAAATCTCCGTGGGTGGTTCACATTGGATTTCACATCTGATGAGCTACTGAACAATGTGACATGTAAGTACGAAATGAGAACTTCATCTGCAATTAAGGAGACAAGCTATTATTTGGATTGATATTGACTGGTTTTTGTTACTTTCTTGGTTTTTAGTGACTCAGAATATATTCTCCCGGTCGAGTTTGTTCGACGGTCAACTGCCAATTTCTACTGTTGAAGATGTCACAGGAGTTAAGCCACCGCAGTTTTGGTTAAGTGCTCCGGTCCGTGTTCCTCTGACTATCTTATTACATTCATTCACATAGTATGCGGGGGAAAAAAAAAAAAAGGTTTAATTATTTTTGAAACTTTAGTGTATGGTCATTTTTTCTATGGCAGTATGACTCATTCTACAACCAGAACAAACTCAGCCCAGCAGCATACATTGAACAGTCAGCGAAACACATGATCATAAACTACCTTTCCTCTCCTGAGATAGGCTTCTTGAAGACCATGGGCGGTAAAGTGAACAAATTGAAGACTAAGCTCATCTTTCAGTTCCTGGGACCAGAACAAGTTGAGCCCACAACCAATCAAAAGTACAGCTCGATTCTGCAGAATCTCACCACGGTCAAGTCCTTCGCGTCCGGAATTCTCGTCCCGAAAGAGTACATTTGGCCTGTAAGCTCCAGCGGGTATTTGGGGAAACCAACTAGTCTTGTGGCTGATGCCCACAAGCAAGGGCTAGAAGTATATGCTTCTGGTTTTTCAAATGATGTTCCCACAAGTTACAACTATAGTTATGACCCAACAGCTGAATACATACAGTATGTGGATAACTCTCAGTTTTCTGTTGATGGGGTGCTCACAGACTTTCCTCCTACAGCATCAGAAGCCATTGGTGAGATTATAAGCTTTTCATTTATTTCGCAATTCAAACCATTGTAGAAAGACTTCTAAGCCTACAATTTCCATATCTTGGAGTTCTGGCCTAACCCTGCCAATTTTTTTCCCTTCTTTGCAGCCTGCTTTGCACACAACAAGAATGGGGACAAGCCTAGAAAAGGTATTATTCTAACATATCATTCTTTTTGAAGAGCACACATTACAGGAAATTGTGTGTTGGGATTTATATATATATATATAT